TTTGTAAGGGTTTTAGAATTTGTTTTGAGTTGCAGGGTTTTACTACAGTTGGTCGTTTGGAGTTTGGACCTGAGTTCGTAACCTAGACAGTGGTGTATTTTATTTCTTTTTTATTCACTTAATTTCGTTAATCTCCCAACTCTCCCACTATGTTTTCGTTAAATCGTGGAGAAACCCCTCTAGCTTTTGAATACTACCCTTTCACCTCTCTTCCAACCCACTTTAATTGATTTTTTCTATCCCTTTGTTGTAGTCCACAATATTTAATTTTTTCAAATATCAAGAAAGAGTTAGCTTTTTTTTTACAAAAGTTGCTCTTGGAGTAATAGCCTAGGAGTATTTGTTATATTTTTCAATGAACAAATTAAAATTAATATAGTCAATTTCATTGTTAATTAATGTTAAAAGATGATTTTTTTTTAATATGCGTGAAAATAACCAAAAAAATCAATTAAAATGGACCAGAAGGATTAACAGACTACAATTAAGACCACCTATTTTTTAATAGCCTTTGAATCATTTTCCCCTTTTCCCAAAACTTCATTTTTGCACATAAATAATGTCATTATCGAGATCCCATAAAGGTATTTATTATTTTTTTTGATTATATTTTTTACTTGAAAAGTATCTCAATAATTAATCCTTAATTTACCTTTTTTATGATCCTTGGAATACGTGGAGTGCAAGTTCAGCACCGAGTCGAGGGAAGTGGGCGTGGACGTGACGCTTGGATCACAGGTCATCCCCAAGAGAAGCAATTTCAAGTATCTTGGGTCGGTTATCCAGGAGATGGGGAGATCGACGAGAATGTCGCGCACCGTATAGAGCTGGTTTGGATGAAGTGGAGGTTAGCATCTGGAGTCCTATGTGACAAGAAGGTGCCACTGAGGTTCTAAGGTAAGTTCTATAGAGCGGTGGTTAGACCAACCATAAGGGGCAAAGTATTGGCCGGTTAAAAACTCTCATATCTAGAAGATGAAAGTAGCAGAAATGGGGATATTAGGGTGGATGTGCAGGCATACTAGGATGGATAAAATTAGGAATTAAGATATTCGGGAGAAGGTGGGCGTGGCCCCGATGGATGACAAGATGCGGGAAACTATGCTCAAATAGTTCGGGCTCGTGCGGAGGAGAAGTCTGAACACTCCAGTAAGGAGTTGTGAGCGGCTTGCTTTGACGAGTATGAGAAGTGGTAGAGGGCGACCCAAGAAGTATTGGGGAGATGTGATCGGGCAAGACATGACGAGACTTCATATTTCCGAGGACATGGCCCTTGATAGGAATGTGTGAAGGTCTATCATTAGGGTTGTAAGTTAGGAGGTAGTGGAGCTTTTTTTACTTCGTAATGGGTGAAAGGCTAGCCTGATAGGGTTGTATCCTAGAGTGCTAGTTGTTATTGTTGTGTCCACACTTTTCTTTCATTTTTCATAGTACCGAGCCTTTCTTACGTGTTACTGTTACTGTTTTTCATCTATTTTATGGTACTTATGATGTTGTTATTATTTATATGTTTTTTGTTATTGGTACTAAATATATTGTCTTTTTCGTCTGCTTAAACTGGGGGTTTATCGGAAACAACCTCTCTATCCCCTTGGGGTAGGAGTAAGATATGCGTACACTCTATCCTCCTCGTACCCCGTTTGTGGGATTTTACTGGGTTGTTGTTATTGTAGTTTTTTCTTTCTATTCTTATGTAAAATTTTCATCTCATTGAACTCTCTCTCGAGTTCAACCGCTAGCGACTTGTTGATTGTTATACTTTCTCACAATCGTATGAGAAGAGGTATTGGTTCTAATAACACATGAAATAGTGCACCTACATCTTAAGACGTTATTTTTTTACTATAAGGTCGAGAGCTAACTACGAAGATACTACATGTGAGAGAAAAATCACGAGGGTAAATTGTCATTAAGTTACAATCACGAGTAATGAAAGATTATAACAAGTGTAATTTCTGATTTTGTGTTATAGTGTCTTTCTCTCTTTCTTCTTTTGAATGAAATTGATATGCCTTTATAATAAATAAAAAAAGCTTCATGTTTTAATTTTGGAGTAGTTTAGTTCGTATTTACTATAAACTTCAAGAATTTTGACTTTCTTGCTTTTCCGTTGTTTAGTCTATGAGCTTTGTCGCTAATTTGCATATGTAATAGATTTGTAAGGTCTTATTTTTCCTTGACGGAACTTTTGGTAAAATGTCTAGTCTTCAGAAGAAACCAAGTTACATCTGCCTTTTAGTGTATTCTATTTTTTCTCTAAATTTTTCTAAAATATAAATAGATAGAACAATATGGGTGAGAAATTTAAAACAAATTCTCTGGGTGGGCCGGGTAATGTGGTGAGAAAATAAGTGGGCTGTTGAGAATTTTCTGGGCTTTGGCAGACTGACTCCATTCAGTTACAGTTCGGATCCTCTGATTCGTTCCTAGTTCTCTCTCATTCTACTTAAAAATAGGGATTTTTACATAAATAGCCGGCCATATTAATTATTTATTTTTTCTAGTCATATACATAGATTATACATTGATTATACATAATTATACATATTTAATACATAAATCATGCATATAATATACATTCGCTGGCTATTTTTAATTTAAGTTCTAGGGTGGGCGGCTATTTGGGTTAATTCTTCTTAAAAATATTGTCAAGGAATTTTTTTAGTCTTTGCGGTAATTGACAAAATAAAGAGAAAGGTATATCTTTATTTGTTTCCAAAAATAATAGCCGAAAAAATATATATTTTTTGTATTTATGTGTATTGACTATTGTATACAAGTAATATGCATATTTTATACACATTTTGGCTAGTGAATAAAATTAATTTCGCCGACCGGCCGATTTTGTGTTTGCTCAAAAATAAATGATATAAAACATGTCCCATTTTATGAATTCATTCTATAAATTGTGCCTGTAAAATTTTATAAAATCCGGTTTGATCGAATCTTTCTTCATTTAATATGTATAGATTTAACTCAAGATTATATACCTTTGATTTTTAAGGTGGATAATTGAGATTGAATAATTTAATGTGATATGGATTCCTTTTTTAAATAAAAAAAAAATTCCTCCAAAATTAGGAGGATCTATAGTGTTTCCACACTTATCCTCTAGGGTGACTCGAACCCAGGGTTTAACGGTCGTGGATGAAGATGTTTTACCAACTGAGCAACCCTCGCTAATCTAGGTGATATGGATTCAGATATATAATGTGATATTGGAGAAACCTAAAAGCAAATTAAAGAGATAGGAGGCTGAAAGTAAATTTAGTGAATGACAAAGGGAGAAGATTTAGCTTTTCTTTTTCGTTTAGATAATATTAGTTTTATATGTTTAAAGCTTACAATATTTTTGGATGTAATAAAGCTTATTAATGATTATAGACGCTGGGAATTGAAGTAGTTTGATTGGTGATGCTATAAATTTAAGGAGAAAATGACACAGAAAGTGAAAAGTGTAATGCCTGCTAGTGCACCTCTGATCAATATAGAGCTGGACGTTTGGACCTTTTCTTGTGGTTTCTTTTCATTTCACTCAACTTTTGTTGCTTTTTATTTTTCAACAATTTTACAAGTGTGTAACCTTCTTTGAAAAAAAATTAAGAGGAGTTGATTTGGGTAGTTGCTTTCTTGGAATTTTGTGTTTTATGATCAATGATACAGATTAGCTCTGAAATTATGGGTAGGAATATGATTTAGTACATACTACCAACCAGTAGTTAGCAGGAAGTTAGTCATTATAGATAAAGTTATCCATGATTAACAAACATAATCACAACTGATCACATTTTAATATGTGTTTGTCTAGGAACTCAATTTGCTGAACTATATATGATTTTGTAGAAAAACATAAATCACAAGGCGGATCAAGGATTCGACTGTCGCGGGGCACCATGACATTCAATATAAATTTATTACTGCTCATAAAGATTGGTGCATGGACCAATGCTAATATCTGACTATTTTGTAAAGATATTTGCAAGTATATATGAAGATTTAATTTTGCCAAAATTTTCGGGTGTATGTGACCTCTCAACCCATAAACGTGTGTCCTCCTCTCATCACAATTGGAGGTTGAATGAATATTTGAATTGCATATTTATAGATGAAAATTTAAACTGTTCTCCCCCTCATGGTGGTGCTCATGTCAATTCATGCATCTCGACAAAAGAAATTATCTCGTGTTAAATATTTAGCAATATTTTACAAAATGTGTGTATACATGCATGCACTTTGGACCAATAGTACAAATTTTGAATTACCGAAGTCAATATTTCTTCTTCATTTCTGTTACATATTCAAGGCTAGAAATGGAAATATTATTAATATCTGATAGCTAGCTCTTTAATAAGTACTTATAATTAAATAATTTCATAGTACTTTGATATGAAGAATGATGTGTTTTGGTAATATTTGGCTCCACATGGACAATAACATATTAAAAAATAAAAAATGAGAGCAGCATAGCAATTGTGGCAGGCAACATGATTCAATTTTTACATATTTTGTAGCCAAAAATCACACTTACAACTACCAAGCTTGCAATTTGAGTAAAGTAGCTAGGGTCAGCTTAACTAACAACCAACCAACTATTGTTTTCAAGTAAAGCAAAATGCTTTCTTTCTTCTCTTTCTCATTATATTTTGAATCAATTCCCAATGCTTGTAGTACACTGCAACAACCCACGAGTAAGTTTTTACAAGGGGAGTATGAGAAACTTAGTGTGTAGGCAGAACTTATCCTTATCATGGAGGAATAAATATGTTATTTCCGATAGATCATCGATTCAAAAAGACGAAAAAAGATATTATAATATTTATAGTACAATGAGATTAAAAAAAAAAGAAACATCAAATTCAATATTTTTTCTTCTTTTCTGAATCTTACAGATCTTTGAAGATGTTAAAAAGCAAAAAAAAAAAAAAAAAAAAAAAAAAAAAAAAAAAAAAAAAAAAAAAAAAAAAAAAAAAAAAGAGTACAAAAGCAAAAGTGAACACTGGAATAATAGTTCTGTAAATTAATCTCTCTATACATGTGAAACCCTGAAAAAATGTGCTATACAAAAAATTTATCATCAGCTTCTCTTCTTTATCTCCTTCAAATATGTGAATCCCAACTCCCAAGTCACCATAAATCTCCAATATCGACGTGACTATATGAAATGTTAATTCATAATAAAAAGTGAATTAAAGAAAAGATAAAAAAGGCCATTTTTGAGTCAAAGTAAGAAAATCTTGATGAGTCTCCCGTCATAAAATCCGGCAGCCATGAACTGCCAAAGGGAAACGGATCCTCCGGCGAACTGGAACCCGAACCGGACCCGCCATCTGTTCCGGTGGCCGGTTGGCCATTTCCGGTGCCGCTCAAAGACATTGAAGAATCTCGTGAAGATTTCTGACTGTAAGCAAATACAAAAGTTTTATGAGATTCACGTCATTTTTAAATTGAACTACTTGTATAGTAATAATTTATATAATCGATTTTAATTTTATTTTATTTTATTGAGGCATAATTGTTATTGCATGAGATTCAAGTCATCGACACTTAATTTGACGTTCATATACAAATTCTTTGTAACATATTTTAATACTTATTTCAATGTATTGTGCAATATTTACTCTAATATAAGTTGGTCATATGACATCGAAAACTTTATACAAAAGCTTCCAAAAAAATTAAGCCGATATGTGATGTAATACTAACAAGTTTATCCGGTGAAAAGAATAAAGTGCAAATGGACCTATGAGAAAAAAATTAAATTAAAAGAAGATACTATTCACTTGTTCTACGGAAGAAAAAGGTGAAAAAAGAGATATATTCACGATAAGATTACAGAACGAAGCCACTTAAAGATTCTCTATATATAGTAGCCAACTAATGCTACTGTCATTTTTTAATGCTCTTAACAATATTTTATTTACTTAATTAAAAGTAGCAAGTCGTCTAACAACCACGAATAACACTAATCACCTATCCTTAGATTTTTTCCTCTATAATTTTTTCACATTTCTTGTTATATTTATTTCTAACTTTTATATAGTTTAAAATTTATAAGTAGAAGATGGTTTTTTTTTTAGGATGGTTTAACGCGACTAACAAACCACGTTGTACTTAATAGAATAATGGATACCGACTACGATCGAATTGTCTCTCCAACACTATTCTACACTTTATCAAGACGAAAATGAAAAGCTATTGATCGTAATTAAAAAAAATATCGTGACACTTTGATTCTAATTGTAACATATATCTCAATCACTAAGATGCTATAAAAAAAAATAGTCCGTAATATCTAATCAGCCTTGTACTGCATTGAGCTAAAAGCTAGCTAGAAAAGGAAAAAAAAAGGTATTTCCAATTACGAAAAGTTATTTTATTCAGAAGAAACACGTCATTATTACATACTTTTTGTTATTTTACGAGTAAATCAACGGACAACGACAAAGATAAAAAGAGATGATCAAAAGTAGCAGAATAAGATTAATTCAATAAGCAAATGGAAAAATGGCATTCAATAGTCACTGGAAAAAAATAATATTCGAAAAAATGTATAAAATTTGTATTTTTTTTGTATATATATATTCAGTATGTTATATATAAAAATTATACAAATTTTATACATTTAAATGATTTCTGGCGCGGACTAAAAGTGATAATACCGCTAAAAATATTACGACAGTTTAAACAAATGAATTAAAAAAATAATTAAAAAAATAAAAAACCTTACCTTGTTAATGAAGGGCAGAATGTAATCGTATAATCAGCTCCTGTACATGTAAAAGTACTCGTAGGATCATCATACGCGTAGCTATACGATTTCGGACACGCGTTTTTGAACATCGCCGAATAGCTTGACGGTTTACAGGTGGAAGGTGAAGCATACGCGCCGCTGCAACAATATTCCGGGTTACCAAATGCTTCACATGCACTCTTGCATGCTTGCCCATCCCCGACCCGCAACTCATTCGGGCACATTCGATTCAAATCCTTCACGCAACCCGTCGTATCACATGCACCCGACCCGCCAACTGCTTGGACTGCCATTGGTAAATTGTATCCGTCAACTAAGCTTACATCGTAGAAATCTTGCTTCGTACCTGTTGAAAATACAATTAATGTATACAGATAAAATATCACATAATTTAATATTACTTAGACTACACAGTAATTTTTACGTGTTTGACTCATAATTTTTTTTTAGAAAGGACATATTGAAAAAATATGTAATAACTTTTAAATGCGTGTCACGTACCTGAGAAAATAGTGAACTCCGCAAGGGTGGCCGGAGGAATTGCTCCTGCACCATTGCATTCTATCTGGTTTGAGCCACAATCGCCTGTGGCACAATTTCCTTGACCGGTGTTACCGTCAAAATTACAACCGGTTCGACCCCAGATCCGACCCGACCATTCTTGTGGAGCTTGGAATACCCGTGAATCACCTGGAGCAAGCATGAACCCGGTACTATCCAGTTTTTGACTACCTGCATTGGCTAATATTCCAGGCCATACGTTGTAATCACATCTGTTTATTAAATTAAAACTAGCACCAGAAATACCTGAGAAAGAATATCAGAATCAGTATCATCAATAATATGATCATATAAAACGCTTCAAATGATAATAATACGTAAATTTAATATATTTTACGTACCTCTGTGGGAGCAGAAGAAAATGAAGATGATAAGAATGAAGGAAGAGGAAAATCTTGAGTCCATTTGAAGAAAAATGAGTCAGACCTACGTGGATATATATTTTGTTTTGTTGTTTCTCTGTTGAGTGCAAATTTATTAGAGAGAGAGAGAGAGAAGGGGTTTATGAGATGCTAGTAAAGGCTTTAAATAGAAGAGTGGGATTGGAGTTGGTTGTTAATAGTTGTAATACTGTTAATTTCTCATAAAATAAACAAGTAGTGATCAACTGTGGTGTCTTCCTTTTAGTTTTTTGAAGATAAAAGAGAAAAAGAGGCATTCGTTTGTGTGAATGAGAACGAGAATGAGAAAGAAAACTGTCTAAAAACTGAAAGAGCGAAAGATAGGAATATATATAAACGCAATTTTTTTTTTTCACTTCTATGTAATGCCAAAATCACCTTAACAAATATAAGACTGATGTTTATCACATATAGATAGATGCCAATTCACCTAATATCATCTTAGAAGGAACCACATAATATACAACAACAACAACCCAGTATAATCTCACTAGTGGGATCTGGGGAAGGTAGTGTGTACGCAGACCTTTCTCCTACCCTGGGGTAGAGAGGCTGTTTCCGATAGACCCTCGACTCCTTCCCTCCAAGAACTACCCACCTTNGAACCACATAATATATACACCTTAATTTCAAATTTTCATCTGTTCATTTTTACGTGTCTACTATGGACTTTGCACACACATTAAGAAATAATAAATGAACTGTATAATTTGTTATGATACCCATATTGATTGATGTATATTTTTAATGGATTTGAGAAAATGATTTGAAATGAGTAATTAATACTGTGGGTATAATAGAAAAAAAATTGTCTTTTCTTAATATGCTAAAAATGACAAGTAAAAGTGAAATTCTATTTTTAGAATACTGGACAAGTAAAAGTGAACGAAGAAAGTAAAAAATAGTTATACCTTAACGACTAGAATTTCATCACTCACTACGGGTTGAAAATCACAGATATTTATTTTACAAAATGAAAAAAGAATCGAGCATATGTCATCTTTTCTCGACTTTGATATGTAAATGCCACTATTAATCTAGTCCTCCTTTAGTACTCTTTGTTCTTACTCCTTCCAGTTCACTTAAATTAATTTATTGACATTTTTTGTGGTCCATAATATTTAATTTTTTTAAATATCAAAAAAGAATTAATTTTTTTTTTTCAAGTTGCTCTTAAAGTAAATAGCTTAAAAGTATTTGCTATATTTTTAATTAATAAATTAAGGTTAATATGGTCAATTTTATTGTTAACTAATGCTAAAGGATGAATTTTTTAATATGTATAGAAAACAACAAAAAAATTATTTAAAGTGGACCGGAGAAAGTAATAAATTTTAATAAAAAATCACACACTTTCTTGGAAAAAGTAGTAACATTCTATATTTATTGACTTCAAATCTAGAATTTATCTCTTAAATTTGTGTTAATTAAAGGTCGGATATTTAAAATCTACACTAGATATTATTCAGCTGGTCCAACTTTAAGTAAAGTTGTTAGTACTAGTAACTTTTCTAGCAGGCTAAATCACATTGGTTAATTTCTCACTTTTTGCAAACAAAGCAACGTCAGCAACACGTTGGCAGCCAAAAACAAGAAGTTACGAACCAAAATTTTTAGACCATTATTACATGCAACGTAAAGTTTTCTACATGGATCGACGCTTTTTAGGATAAGGAGTAAAAGATAAGCTAAAGATTTCAAGATTTTGTGCTTTAAATTAAAAAGCGCTTTGTGGAAATATTAGTTACTTTTGTATGAAAATTTTATGTTTTCAGCTATAAAAAAAAACTTTATATTGAGTGTGCTATTGCTTAAACAGAAGGTTATAATAATTTTGGTGTAATGTGCTTAAATAGAAGGGTAAATAGGAGTTAAAATTTACATACTTTGACCGTATACAATATTACTTACAAACGCATATAATATAATTGTCTACAGCTAGATAACTTAAAAGGTTTGGGAATTTTTTTTTTTATGGAACCCCAAGAAAACTCGCAACGGTCTCTACCACAACTTCTGCCCTTCAAGTAAGTACTTTATTTCCCCATCGTGTAATAGCCTGCAAACCACACGAGGAATGTAAACCACACTACGGGCCAGGGAAGTTATAAGTGTAATATATTGGTAACATACATGCACTGAATTTTTTTTAAAAAAAATAACACTGTCAACAATTTGCTTAATTAGAAGGGTAAAATAGTTTTTGTAGCTCTTGGATTATCACAAAATCGCACATCTTTGAAAGTAGTAATTTTGGTAGCTCTTGGAATTATACCAGATTGTCTCACTTAGGCTCTTTGCATTGTCTAATTAATCAGCTAACTTAATTTATACATATAACTGATCATTCTTTTTAACGGCCCAAATATACGATCAATTGTTCAATAAGAATGTTAGTCAAATGATTTGTTAAAGTAAAATCATGTTATCTTTTTTCCTTAAACCCATTACTAGGTTATATGGTATGAACTCTCCTCTCTTTCTTTTTCTCCACTCATTCATATGAATCTATAGTCCCTTATCTCCACACAGAAAATTTTGTCTCAAATACGACTAAAATAAAGGGTTAATTTCCATTAAATGAGTTCTTTGATTTCCTCAATCTAGTGAGGGTACTGTCTATTATTCCACCTAACAATCGTTAGAAAGAAGAAAAACATTACATTAAAAGAATCGTGAATTAAAAACATGTTTAATACTTTTCAATGGAATTGGATTCTCACTGATCTGATGATTAATTGTTTTTGAAGCTAAGTTGATGATACATCGTATCAAAATCGAGGAAATGCATGCTTCCATAGTAGCCAATGATTTAATTAGTCAAAAAACCCATAGGAAAACGATGTAGAATCTCAGCCTAATGTACGTATATTACTATATCCCGTATATGAAGAATTGTAATTAAGCAGTTAAGTTTAATTAATTAGAGTTCGTCAACCCGTTCTTAGGTCAGGGGCGAAGCCAATATGTCGTCTACGGGTACGACCAAAGCCAGTATCTTTAGTTCAATGCTTGTATTTGTCTTAAAAAGATTCATTGAATATATACAAATTATTACTTCAACACCCAATAACTCAAATGGATTAGAATCTCAAACTCATAATCATCTCATAACAATTCATGTTAGTAGTCTAAGCACTAAAACTTGGAAGTACTTTTTAACCTTAGTTTTTTACATAATATTTTTATTCATAATAGTATAGTGGAAGTTATGCTAGGAAATTTAAATAATATTATTCATTTCTTAATTAATTTGCTCTTGCCAAAACAAGAAAAAATGGGCCCTTGGAATAGAAAAGCAATGGGCCCAACATGTCGTACCATAAAGTAATCGTCACTCAAATTTGTATGTCCATTGGGCTTAAGTACTGTCTTTCTCTACTCGTACTTGTGTCATTTTGGGTACTCACCATTCTCTTCTATCCACAAGTCGCACTAATTTGGGGGTCAAGTCAAATAAGCTTTTTAAGAAGAAAGTAATATTAGTATTAGTCATATTAAACTCAAAGATATTGCACTACGTCTATGTTATTTCAGGGAAACCCCTAATGTAAACAAAAAAAAAAATATACGTAAAAGAAGAAAAGTATTAGTAATAAAAAGTTCCATTTGAATATAAGTTATGCCAAAGGGCAAACACTTGGGGAGGGGCATTTTATTATTTAGTTATGTCTTTAATACATCCCTCCATTAACGTGCGTACTTAGTTCTTGTTTATGAGTTTATTATGTAAAAATTCTTTATGATTTTGGATGGTTATCAAATTTGAAGAAATTTACGCCTACTTTAATACGTAAAATTTATGTTACTTAGATGCTTATGAGCTATTAAAAATAAAATACTTTTATTTATTTAATTATATTTTTAACACAAAGGATTAGGACGATAAGGTCCACATAAAATAGTAATGTGTTCATGCCGTCGTGGAATCCATATTTGGACAAAAATGCACCCCACACGATCAAATTGGTCATTTGGAGACTGGAGGAGCCTTTTGGGAAAGGAAGAAATTAAAGAAAGCTCCAGGTGTAATTAATTAATTAATTAATTAATTAAGACTACTTCTACATGTGAATGTAACTTTATAATTAGATAAATCCTGTTAGTCATCAACCACAATATTTGCAACTTGTTTCTACGATAAGAAGAGCGCAACTTTTAATTTTCTTTTAATCGGAAAAACCAAAGGGTTCTGTAGTTTGCAACTTTTCATGCATATAAAATGCGAATACTCTTTCATGATTTTGTGTAAAGTCAATGTCGGTGTAAACATTGGGTAAGCTGATATTGCTTTTTTATTTTATTTTATTTAGGCCAAATACAAAGACATCCCATTCAAATTGGAACAATTTTTCATTTGGAACGCAACCTTGTTCCATTTTGGCTTTTCAATCATATTTCTTATATTTCACTTTAACACAAAAGTTGACTAGTCACATAGTGTGAGTTGCCTTGCCTGTTAGGCGCGCGAGGCAGATTTTTTTGGCAAAATTCCTTTTAATTACTATTGGCCCCATATTTAATCCCCAGACTTCCTTCCCCATTATTTCATCTTCATTATTTCCTTCCCCATTTACTTTTGCCCATCGTCATTCTCAAAGTTTCAAAACTTTCATCTGTCGATTTCATACCTGGCCATCCAGAAAGCTTCAAACTTTTGCAACTTTGTTCATTTATTTAATCTAATTACTTTTTTTGTGGGTTTATTTCATAGGACTGCTACGTAGTAAATTGCAGAAGAATGAACTTTTTAAGCTTTTGATTGACATGCTTCAAACAATAACAAACACAAAAAACTTACAACAACAATAACAACCTAGTATAATCCCATTAGTGAGGTCTGGGGAGGGTAGTGTGTACGCAAACCTTACCCCTACCCTGGGGTAGAGAGGCTGTTTCCGATAGACCCTCGGCTCTCTCCCTCCAAGAACTCCCCACCTTACTCTTGGGGTGACTCGAACTCAAAACCTCTTGGTTGGAAGTGGAGGGTGATTACCACTAGAGCAACCCACTCTTGTCAAAACATAAAAAGCTTAAGATTGTTAAAAAGGTCTCAAACACCGGATGCCAAAGTTTCATTCTTTACACAAAACCAACTCTTGCAAGAATTGAATAAAGTTCAAATAAAGCACAAATCAGCTGTCAAACAACATAACACTTCAGCTGGCAGATGCCAAAGTTTCATTCTTTACACAAAACCAACTCTTTCAAAATACACAACTTAAGTTTGCAACTTTCAAAAGTAACAAAGCTACCAA